AAAAGTACCATAATTATGAAACAAGCTTATACAGAACCACCAAAAATATCAATTGCAAAAAAACAAGATTTACTTTCTCTATGTCATTCCAACTTAATTCCAGAGCAGTATCATGAGTTWTATGATAAATTATCTACTGAAAATAAAGAAAGTACCGGACCAAAGTCAAGTAAAAATTCAAGTATTAATAAGCTACCATCAAACATCAAGAAAGTTGCTTCAGCAAAAAAAAATACTACAAAAAAAACTATAAAAAAAAAATTATTTTAAGGTTTTTAAATTTTTATTTAATAACTATTTCACTAAGTATAGTAAAAAATAATCATAAATGTTTGATTTTTTTATAATTTTAATTAAAAGGACTTCATTTAAAATACAACTGAGTTTTTTTGTTTATATTTTTAGTTACTAAGTTATATTCTACATTCTAATAGGCATTTTAAAGTAAATATTAAAATGCAATAGTGTAGTAACTAAAAAAAAATTATTTAATTGATAAAAAACATTGTTTAATAGTATTTTAACACAATAAATTTGTTTAAAACACTTAATATAATTAATAATATTATATAATACATAAGTTTCAAACATTTAAATAAAATACTTTTTCTTTTATCAGTGATTTAAGACATGAAAAACTTAAAAACTCGATTTTCTCAAAATTATGCATTTTTAGTTACTACACTAATGTACTCACAGTGCGAATTATCCGGCCATAAAAAAAATATTTTCTCTATCATTTTTGTAATGGGTGATTTTAAAGATTAAAGATCTAAAAACATTAAAAAAAAATGATTCTTAGTAAATGCGTTATGTTGCGCATGGGTCAGAGAGAGAAAACAAACGTCGTGCTGACATCTTCAGATCCTTATAAGTAGGTTAYACCGATAGTATCGACCAACCTGCTAATCCAATAAAACTTCTGATAACATTTTTGAATTTGCCACAAGTTTACTTAAAAACAACTTTTTCAGTTTTTTTGAAGTTAAGCCCTTCGTCTAAAAAATTAGAATTTTA